TCTTCCAAAGGCCCTCTCGGTGGGACACAATTCAAGGCATAGCATTGCAGCTAGTGACCCAAAAGCCAAGGGTTGCAATTTATGTGGTCACCCTGATGTGTGAAAATTATCTGTATGCACAAAATCCCTGTCCATGGACCCTGACCTTGCTCACCACTGCTTTGAATTGGTGCCAGCAGCAGAATTCCCAGTCTGGGAAGTGAAATTCCTGGGAAGGCTAACCTTCTTGCACACTCCCAATTTTTATTCCCACTTACAACTTTGGGAGGACCACAGGGAAGGTTATCCACCACTGCCCCTTAGAAAGACCTGCCCTAGGCATCCTGTGGGATCTACTGCCTACAAGGACAGCTGGCAGGTAGCAGGGGAAGATGTCACCTGCTGTGATATGCATCAAACGTGCAGATGACATGTTTGTACAGGGTGAGAAAAGCCAAGACCACTGTGTGTGGGCTAATGGCTCTGGCAAATCCCATCCTTAGGCAAAATCCTATCTTGAATTCCCAGCATTTTACTCTGTCAGTAAAGGCCAGCACACTTAAGACAGGAAGCACAGAAACCCTGCCTGCACTGCAGATTGCCAAATATGAATTCAGGTGCTGGCCATGCTGCAGACACTTGCCTCAGATTGCTGTGTGGGGCTCTACCACAGTTTTGAGTCTGCTGCAACCAGAGGTACTGGGACTGCTGCCTTTGGAATATGGGAAGTGACCAGTATGGGACTGCACAGGAAGAAGCAGGCAGGTGTCAGATTTCAGTGCTCGGGACGCAGAATGCAGCCCTTTGTAGGCTGGATGACACCACCCTACACAGACTTGTGTGTCTCTTGGTAGCATCGACAGGGATCGGGCTGTCTTCACACATTTCTGGGACTCGACATCTGTGCTGGAGAGGAACTTCTGGCCTGGGTAGCCTTGCTGACTGGGGAAGGACTGGAATGCTCAGGGATGCAGCATCTCCTTTGTGGGGAGCAGGCAGAAACACCTCATCCTGACTTTTTCCATGCTGGGCTTTCAGCAATCAGATAAACTGGAAGCAAAATTCTCTTGTAAAAAGAGAAAAAAACTCTTTCACACAAAAAATGGGAAGCCTGGGTGCTACCCTGGGCCCCAGCAGCCAACCCTACTGTTGGGGGTCCATCATCTCCTTGGGAGCCACCACCACTCTTGCACAGGAGGAAGGATGGCAAATGGTTCATTTTAGTGATGTGGACTTGGTCCACCATCTGGGATGGTGGCATCTGCCACACCAGGCCTAAGGCCACCACCTTCTCCAGCAAGAGGGCTTAGGGGGTTCCTAAGATCCGTCGTGACCAAGAGTGGTGATTGTCACCTGCAGCAGACCCCGTGAGTGACAAGAGACACATGATAATAAAACAAATAGACAAGAAAATCCCTTTCACCCCCTCTCTGCTGGCCTTCACCCAGGATGCAGGGTGCATCCCTTCGCTGGCTCAGCTTTCTCCATGGTAACAGATGGATGTCACAGTCCCATCCCCCTTCATGATGCTGGGGCGGGAGGGTGGGAGACAGATGGCAATGGAGGGGAAAATAGTCCAGATCCTCCTGAGTGGCAAAAATTGCAGGAATCCCTGATTGCCGGAGCCAAGACATTGACCCAGAGCCGTGGGAGGGAAGGAAGGTGGAGGCGCATGGCTCTGCTGAGCCCGGAATAGCAGAGCAGCTGTTAAGTTATCACTTGTAATTATTACAGCATATGGGAGGGAAAGAATAGCTCTCAAAGGGAGAAAAACAAATAAGGAAAAGGCGGGCTGCCACAGGCTCAGCCACGGGAAGAGTGACACTCAGCACTGCAGCGGGTCCCCATCAGGTGGGCAAGGGCATTGGGGGACAGCTCTTCCTCTCCGCAGCCCCGGCAGGAATTTGGGCGCAAATATTTACATCTGCAGTGCCAGGGGCTCACCCATCTCCCAGGGTGCCCACTGCCCACTCAAGAGCATGGGTATGCTGGGGAGAGGATGGCAATGTGACAGAGGGATGGAGCCTGGCATGCTCCCCCTGTCCCTTCTCCATGTACAATCCTATTGTTTGCTCCATAATTTGAAGGACGCAGGGCCATGCACAGCAAGTGATAATGCTGGAGCACAAAGTGCCCCAGTACACCAAAGGGGAAAACCTCAGAGACAAGCCCTGCATAGGAGAGCCTGCTCCTGGAAATATGAGGAGCAAGGAAGAGGTGACATCCAGCAACATGAGGGAGAGTAGAGAAATTGGGTAACAGTCTGTGAATAAGCAGCAGTGACAGTCTCTCTTAAATTCTACTCCACTTGCAAAATAAATATTGTATCTCCTCACAGCAGGTGTTATTCTGGGCTTTCAATATTAGAAAGAAAAATGTCAATAAGTCCTTGGAAATGTGGAGCTATTAGCAGTTGCACCAGCTGCATCTCAGTATGGGGACAAGGAGTGTTGAGGGGATGCCACCCTGCTCACAGCCCTGGAAAAAGCTTGGGAGACTTAATGGAGGAAAATCGAACCATATCTGCTGTGTATTAAATGCAAAGATTTAAGTTCGCTGATGAAATTCACAGTCACTGAGCTACAGATTTTCCTGAGAGCCAAAGAGCATTTTGAGCCCATTTGGTGTTTACTTGTCCTGTGCAACAGGCATGTAGCCACAGAGATGAGGCAAAATGTTAATTTATCTTGTTAGTTCCTATGCTCTGATGGCTTTTCCCTGGGCATCTGCTACTGGCTACAATTGGAAATGCAGGACCAGGGACAAAGGTTGAAGGGGTTAGAATGTACTTCAACAGAGATATTTTTATATTCTCTTATACTCTCTCCTGGTTTTCAGCTATATTTATTTGTCTGCTACTGCCTTCTCCCTGGCAGCATCATTAATTTACTCAGAGCAGGTGAATTGGCACCTGCCTGCTCACCTCAGTGAACTCTAGCTCATCCCTGGGTCTCTCATCCCAAGCCAGCCAATGATCCCATTGTGAAGAGCTTATGGCTCCAGCGAAAAGCACCAATATATGTCTGAGCAGGAGATGGGGAACCCTGGACACACTGGGCTTATGTGTCAGGACCAAAGCACACCACTCCCATACCTAAGCCATGAGCTTGGAGGTCAGCAGGACACAGATACGGATGGGTGCTGAGCCCCTGCTGGTCTCATGGGAGCCTGGGAGATGCCCTTAAGCTCTGGTAGCCCACTTGGCCATGCAGCACAGGCAGATGCTGAATGGCAATGCTTCTGCAAACAAAGCTGTGACAGAAGGAAACAGGAAACAGGAGATGGTTCAAACTCTGTGATCCAGAATAGGAGTGAATTGCATGTGGCAGACAACAGCCCCAGCACCCATAAAATAAACCAGTCAAACCCTGCCAGCACCCCGGGATCCTCGCCATTGGAGATTGAAGGACCAGCTCTGCAGCCAGCACACATAATCAAGCTAGCCTGGGTGAAAATCAGGGAGGCAACACCCGTTTGCACCAGATGGAAATCTGCCCTGATGCTTTATAAACCACTGGCCCTGCCAGGAGGGCTGACCCTGCCCCATGCACCCGTGCTGCTGCTCAAATGCTCGCCTGGGTGACACCTCCATGGGGGGCAGAAAACTGCTTCTGCTGCCTTCATCATGATGCTGAAATGCTGCTTGACTGCACATGTGGCGTGTGGCGTGCCCCCACTGCACAACTGAACCTGGAGGTGTTCCCCACTGCACTGACACCTCAGAACAGAAGGAAACAGAATAGCTGAGATTTGCAGAGCTGCTTGGGCCTTGTGTCCTCTGTCTGCAGCGACCTGGAGCAGAGAAGGGCAGTGACAGGGCAGATGGGGAATGTGCTTTGGGATAGGACACAGCTTGAGGCATCCCTGCCCATGGCATGGGGTTGGAATTAGGTGATCCTTAAAGTCCCTTCCAATACAAACCATTCTGTGATCTGGAATGAAAGGATTCTCACAGTCTTTGTGCCAGAGACTCGCTAGGAGACTGTGTTGGCTCAAGCATCCAGGAGGAGACAAAAAGCCTGCCAAGCGCTGCAAATGGAGGAGGAGTGTGTTTGCAGTTCATTGCTATCTCCACACTTGCCCTGGATTGGCAGTGGTTGAGCTACAGACCCCATCAGGGTCTTGGGGGCTAAGCCCTCCTTGTAGCAGGATGCTCTGCCTAGGTGGGGGTAAAACAGCTCAGACTTCACCCTATTTGCAGAAGTTATCAGGCTATCGGTGGCAAATAGAGGAGGAGGGGTCAGGCTGCTTTTGGTGCTGAAGAATGCTGAGAGGAGGCTGACTCATCAAGCCCAAAGTTAAACATTCTGAGGATGTGAAGAACAATGTTTCCTGACAGAAACTGGCACTGGTGAGGAGGTGGCAGACAAGCTTCTGATGAAGAAATCATCAAGTGCTAGTACTGATGACTTACCTAATGGTGCTGAGCTAAAGGCTGCAGAGCTGACACAGTTGGCCTACAAACACATGGCTGACAGTCAGTCACATCATACTATAAAAACTCAGTCCCACATTTTAATGGCAGGGTCCTCTAATACCCTTTTTGGGTCTTTGTGCAGATTCCTCTTTTGAGTGGAGACACCCCTCAACGCTAAGCGAAAGAGATTTGCTCATGGTCATTGAAATGGGTAACATCAATCTCTACTTAATAATTATTTTGCCAACTTTAATATAATTGCTTCAATATTTATAAAAAATGGTGCACTATACTGGTAGTTAAAACTATCTGTATTGTGTACTAAACAATTCTGATTAAGGATTTTTTTTAGTCTAATCATTATCATCATCAGTTGAAATAAGGAACTTATTTCATTCATATAAATATATTTGGTTAGCCATCCCTAATTCTGTAGCACAAAGTTGTATAGACTCAATTACACCTATATAATTCTTTAGGCATAAACCATTGACCAAGGATTGGATCCAGACTCCTCTCTGAGAAGGGGTTTAAAAAATCAAGGGGATTCTTTCTAACCATTGTGACTTAATGGAAGGGTCTCCATGACAAACCTTGTCTGAAACTTCCATTCTGCCTGCAACACTCCTGCATCCCAAACTAATCCTGCAGCTCTCGTTTGAACTCCCATACCCTCTGCCCTGGTCTTAGGGCAGGGTGACAGTGATGCCAGAGCCATCCACACACACACACAGAGCTGCACACACACAATCTGCCTCGTGCATTTTTGGCCACCTTCCCAAATGCCAGCACGACATGGCAGCTCTGTCCATCTCCTTCCTTTCTTCTGTACATCACTTGCAAAGTTTCTTAATCTTAAGGTAATTGCTTTTCCCACGGTAGCAAGGGCCTCTCATTTGTTTTTACATGCCACTTATCTAATCCACAGGTTTGTCTTTGGATTCCTGCTGGACTGTTCATTAAAAAAAAAAACCAACCAACAAACAAACAAACAAAAAACCCCCAAGAAACCTACCAGGATTGGGCAACAGTTGAAAGAGAAAAGTAATACCTTTCTTTTTCTTCTTCAAAACCACCAAAATTGACACTAGATAAAAGAGATAGGAGAAATCAGGGAAAATATAGGGTTTGAGATGGTTTCTTTCCCTACTTAAAAACTAATTTTGTTAGTGATCACCCATGGGAAAAAAGTACTTGTTGCTTTGACCCTACAAGACCTCCAAATATTTTTAATCCCTTGCTATCAACTGTGAAGCCCCACCTGGGGAGGTAGCAGGAAACATTCCTTGGAAGACCCTAGCAGCTTTTGGGGCTGAGCTTCTAAAGAGGGAAGATTTGGTGACTAATCCCAGGAAATCCCCTTCTCCTGGGCAAGATGACCTGTCCTGATCCTGACTGTTGTTCCTGGTGTGCATTTTTTCTGGTAAGGGCTGACAGGTCCTTACCCAGACCCTGAAAGGTGCTTGCCCTAACAAGACATAGCAGTCATTTGGGTGGTCTGGGCTCACCATGATCTGCTCTAATCCCTTCACTCCTGAGGGGGCTGGAGGCGGAGGCATCATCCCAGCCTGGTTAGTGCCCCCACCTCTGATGCAGCAGAACAAGCCTCTCCTGCTGGGACAGGACTACTGGTGCTCCCAGCCTGACCCCAGCTGCTGCTGCGTCCATCTCCCCTGTGCTGCCCGCTGGAGCTTGCTTCCCCTGCTGCTCGCCAAGTGCCTTCCTGCTGGGACACACCTCCCAGAGCTTCCACCGCTTCCTCCCACAGCAGTTCCACCTCTTCCTTCTCCCCTGAACCTGACATCTCTGTGTGTCCTTTCCTTGGCAGACAGTACAGCCATGTTTGCTGTACCCTTGGTCAGCACATGCCCAGCACAGCCCTGCTCTGGGCAGCTTTGATCCGTCCAGGGCACGACCAGGAGGCAGCACATGCTGCTGTGGCACTCACCTTCAGGTCCCTGTCATGGCTCTAAGTGTCCCCTGGGGTGTGGATGATGCAGGTGACAGGAGGCTGCAGCAGCAAAGTGGCCCAGGGATGGAGAAGGGAGTGGGCTGGTGCTCTCTTGGGGAAGAAGGTCTGACCCTGCCCACAAAGTAGCAGTAAGAACGTGGGTGTTAATTTTTGACAGCTTCCACATGGGGAAAGGGCTAGGATAGAAATTACATGGGCTGGGTGGTTGCAGATTTTGAGGCCTTGGGACCAGCCAGGGTCTTCCAGTGCTATCCTGACATCAGGAAGAGGGCCAAGATCCCTGCTGAGCCTGTCTGCAACTCGTAGCTATAGGCTGTGACAAAGATCAAATCTTTAAGACATGCTGGAGTTGCACACAGCACTATCATATGGGCATTCCCTATAACACCCAAAAGCACATCAGCTTTTCAGTACCAAAGTGGGTCTGGGATGTTCTCCACTACACTTTGTGGGCATTGCAGGTTTCCTAAGAAAATATTTCCGAATACATCAAAGTGGTGTGCGATACAGCAAGCCACTACCAGCATAGTGCATTTGGGACACCACACGAGGCCAGCACAGTGGATGCTGGATAGGTAAAAAGAAAATGTTGAGCCCACTGAGTGTCAAACACCTCATGACCGCTCTGGAGCTGCTTGGGTTTTGGTTTTCGAGTATTTTTCCTTTTGAAAGTCGCACTTTTGAGACCCTCTTCTTCCCTCTAGCGTCCATTCCGAGGCAATCCTCCTGCTCTCCAAACCCAGCAAAAGCGGCCCCTGCCTGGCTGCACTTGCACTCACTCGGCTCCTCAGGCACAGGTTTTATATCTATGAATGATACTACCACTCTCCACCTAGCAATCCGACGTTTTCTTTTTCTGGTTTATGCTGTGCCATGCAGGAGGATCCTGTTACAAGGCTGTTGTCTCTTGGCAGTTTAAAAAATTATCTCAATTACTACCTTAATTTTAGCACAATCACTCTGAACTCCAGTTGGGGATGCACAGCCATGAGGTTTCTGATGGCAGTGTGGAGAGGACACCTTCTTGAGGAGTGGGTCAGAGTGAGCCCCTGAACTTGTTGCCTGTGTAAGACCATGCTACACCTCCTCTCAGATCACATAATTTCTTCTTGGACTGTAGGAAACCAGGGCAGAGATTAGAAATTACTGTAGTGCCCCTAAGGCTGGATCAAGGCTGTCCCTGAAAGGTTGTTTTATTTCTTGTGACAGCAGGAGACCTCCAGGGTAGGAGGGTCACCTGGGTCACCTCCCAGCTGGCTGAACTGGTTTCCAGAAGTGTAGATATAATCCTCCTCTTTGAGGAGAGACCTCCCCCTCTTCTGGGGACAGGCAGCAGATCCACCCTACGAGATGCACCTGCACCAGGCCAGCTCTCCACCAGCTCAGGGTCTGCTCTGGCACCTTGAATTCAGTTCTGGAGAAGCCCTTCTTAGTGTCCTGCAGCTGTCCTGCCCCACCTATGCCCCTCTGAAAGGTACAAAAGCTTCCCAGACTGGTTCAAAGAACCACATGCACTGAGGTATGCTGCCCTAGTGCTCACACTGTCTCCACTCTCCAAGGCTGACCCTTTGTCTCAGCCAGGAAATTTCCAGTATCTCCTGGGGTAATTTTAGAGGAACAAAACAATAAAAACAGGGCCAGGATTCTCTGGTGTAATGACAAAGCCATAGCAGGGCAGGATTTATCTCACGTGGCAACTGATGGTACCAAGCAGACATCTAAGCCATCACAAACCCTGTTTTATCAGTGCAGAGACTGACACTAGTGGGCATGAGCCATCTGACTCATCATACCCCAGAAGTACCTGTGCTCTACTATGGGTGCAGATACTGCCCATGGCAAGGAGACAAGCTGTCAGGCTCTGAGCAAGCCAAGGAACCGTGTAGGGGATGATCCTGAGTTGGCCTGCCATTTGTGTGTATTTGAAGGGACATGTATGACATTTTCCTTCCTGAACATCTCCTGTGTTTTCTCCTCCTTGACAGCCAAAGAAAATATCTTCTGTTCGTCCTTTAATGAAGATTAATTTGTTCCAAGTGCAAAGCAATCCCAGGCCTTCAATGAGACTAATGGCCTTGGCAACAAGCACAACAGCCATGAGCCCTGGGGCTGTGCACACAGCTGCCATGGGGACACAAGACAGGGTGAGTATCCCCTTTGGGCTGTTCCTAAATGGGATGCTAAGGTGTCCACAATGATCTGGGCTCTGCAGAGCTGGGAGGTGCAGAACCCAATCCAAGGCTGAGCAGGAGCCACCTTTGCTTGTCAGGGCCCATTTGTCTGGATGGGATGCTGTCCCAGACATGCTCCCCTTCAGGGGGAGGGATGATTCTTAGTCACTGAAATAACTGGCTGGCACACAGCTCCCTACTTCTTTCTCCCATTTTTTTTTTCCAGTTCCAGCTGAGTGGAGCCTTTCAGTATGCAGGGCAGCACCAGTAACTCCAGCAGGGCTCTTTGTGGGACACCAGTTAAGTGATGCTGAGAGGCTCCCTGGACAGCTCATGCTTCTGCTAATGCTGCAGCATTGTCACTTTGGGCCAAATTCCTTTGTTCTGAGCCCAGCTCCCTGCAGGGCAGCAGTTCCCATCTAACCACCCCCTCCTTAAGCAGCATGTACTGGTGAGACTTGGTTCCCAGCAGAAAACTCTTCCCTGCAGTGCTGATTTATTAATAGGTGAGAGGAGCAGTTCTCACCCCTCTCTCCAGCTTACACACCAGATATCAATTTGGCAGCCAGCAGCAAATCCCATTAGGGCAGTGAGATACTTAAAGGCAACAGCAGCTCCTGGCCCATTACAAGAATGAGGGGATGGACTCTGGTAATGTACATCTGAAACTGGTCACATCCAACTGGAAGCAAGGATCTTACTGAGACAAATATTAACAGTCTGCAGAGGCAGGGATGGGAATAAGCTCATTCATTAAAGGACTTTGTCTATATTCAAGGGACCAATGTGGGATTTTAACAAAGGAAACGGCGACGAAAAGCTCACACAATGAAACTCCCCTTTTTCCATTTTGGGCCAAGAGAACTGAATTCACAAATAGCCCATCATGCCTTACATTTCCTAATTAGCCTATTAAAGACCTGGCTGGCTTTTCCATTTTCTAAATGAAAAAGGTGGAAGATGAACAAGCAGAGGCTAAGCCAGGGCAATAATTTTCCCTGTGGATCTGTTATAGCTGTCCAGACAGCAATGGCCCTGTTTATTTTTCTTGTCCTGGAAACTACAACAGTCAACAGGGTGGTAGCCCTGGGAAATGAGGTGCACCAACTACTGGCAGAGAGAAGAGAGGAGGCTACCAGTCCTTCTTCCCCATCAGACTGGGCTGTGATCACTGACTTGCTCTCTTAGCAAGCCTCTCTGCTGCTCCATGCATGACAGGCTGGCCACTCCATTCTGGACTAAATCCCCAGAGACACAAGAGCAGATGGCACCCAGCCTGTCGTACACATCCATCCCTACCAATACGCACCTGACAGGTGATGGGCCACCAGCTGATGCAGTGATCAATAGGTAGACTGGACACCTCCTCCTGCCCCTGTGAACACACCACAGCACCATGCAGCATGTGACTGCCTTGGTTAGGCACCGGTGGGGCAAAGCTGTTTAATGAGGGGTGGGGTGGCTGTTCTGAAGGTCACTCACAGCCTGCAGCCCTGAGACTTACCACTGGGGTGCCTGATGGGAAGGTACAACAGGAAACCCTGAGTTAAATGGTTTTGATGAAGCCCTCAGGCACTGATTTCCCACACAGGAGGGCAGAGCTGTTTTTTTCTGAGCATTTCTCCACATCCTCTCTGCCAGCTCAGAGAAGCTTCTTGCTCTGTGCACATACAGAGCCACGTGGAGTTTGCTGCCAGATGAGACCACAGATGCTTTTGAGAGACTTTCCAGATCAGTACCAAGAGTTTTGTCTCTGCAGATGCTAAAGTCCAGGCCCCATTTACACACCCAGTGATTTTTTTTCCCCTCCACTCCTTTGAAATGAAAGATGTCAATTGAGAAGGAGGCTCTGAATATCTGGAGAACACGGTTCTACACATCACCCCCTGGTACAACCCCGGATAGAGAGAAGGGTCAGTGCTATCAGTATCTTCTTTCTTTTACAAGGCCAGCTTTTTTTGTGTGTGTGATGGTATTGTCAGTGACACAGGCAAAAAGTCAGATTTAGGAGCCTATTTAAGGACACAGGCACTGTTGTTGGGTGAAATCCTGCTTGCATCCATAGTATTACATAAAATAATTTACCACATAGTTTTAAATTATTTTTGATAGATGATTTCTGCTAGGACACACCAAAACTGGGCAAACTGACTTCAAGCTCCAGACTGTTTTGTAAGGTAAAGTGGTACAAGGAGCACCATGAGAAAAGGAAGTTTTAAGGCTTTGTCTATTCTGCTTCTCTAAGTTAAGATGGCCAGCAGAAAGGAAGAATAAACCAATTCATTAACTCATTGTGTAATTACTGTTTTATAAACTGATTTTAAAAATGTAATCTAACATAGTAATTTAAACTGGAAAAAATGTGATGATGCTTGGTTTCAGACTGCAACATCAATAAAGTTGAAAGGCACAGTCATTTGGAACAGCATCTCACAGGCTGCAGTCACTAAAACAGATGTTTTGGACCTTACCCGAACATTGAGCAAATGCCCTATTGAAAAAAAAAAAAGAGATTATTCCCTTATTTCCCTGCTTTGCTGCACCATCACTTAATTATCCAATTATAATAAATTGGAAAGTCTGTTTGATCTGAGAACACTAGAAAAGGGGATAGAGGTGAAAGACACATGCAGAGGATGCTCTGACACCTGGTGACAGAAGTCAGCTCTGCTAGAGAAATTCTGGAACGCAATGTCTATTCAGGGAAAGTGAGACAAATCCTTCCAGGTTGCTATGGAGCAAACAAACATGTTAATATTGGGATAAGCCACTTGTTCAGCATTTGCTCCCATAGCAATGCATCCTACAAGAACCTCCAATACCTGTGAATAGGGTGAGCTCCTGTGGGGGCATAAACTCTGAAACCATCCAGCCTTTCTGGGCTTTTCCTCAGGCAACACACCCCTCCCTTAGAACCTGCTCTGGTCAACACTTCCTCTCAAGTTCTTGGTTTTGACCCTTGCATGTTTAACATCCAGGACTGCAAAAGACACATTGCTGGCTGCTGGTAGGTCACCTCTTTCAGCACCCCACAGACAGCAGGCTCCATGCTCTGCTTTGTTTGGTGTCCCTGCCTGACTCACAGAGCTGGGTGTGGTGTGGATGAGAGGAAGTATGATAGAATTTGTTCTGTTTTAATGTGTATAGACTGCAAAAATAACCATATTTTTCTGTAATAAGACATTCATTAGCTCATTGGTTGATCAGTGGTTGCTCTTAAAATATTTCTGGACCAGCTGTATCCTGAATTGAGGCAAATCACATTAATTGTTTGAACTGCTCTGTGTTTAGCTTGCAGAAGAAGCTGCAAGATAGCATTGATCCTTCACAGCTGCATTGTGTACATGGCTCCAACACATGCTGGCAACTGGGTACCTTCTAGGACCAAGGAATTCTGTTCTGAGATGTTTTTGTGGCAGTGGATTTGTGTGGCAATGACTGAAGAATGGACCTGGCAGTCAGGGGCCAAGCAGAATTCATTGGTCTAAACCTCTGCGAAGCTTTTGTGGATGAGCAGGCAGCTGGATGCTGGTGGTTGATCTCTTTAGAAGGGCTCTCATCCATGATGGGCCTGAGAAAAAGAGGAAAACTCTGTGGTGAGACTGCATTCTGGATTTGAATATCTGCATTCTCCTCATCAGCTCTGAAAACAACCAAAAGCTGCCAGGCTTGGGAGAAGCCCCAGGCACACGAGCTTCCCACACAAGGCACATGCTCTCTGCCTATGCTGACTCCAAAGTGACTGCATTAATCTAAACCCAAGCTGTCATGTCACAAGTCCTCTGTTGCATTTCTTCAAAGAAGCAACAACATGATGCTAAATTTACAGCAAACAGGTTCAGAAATAAACATGTTTGGGTACATGTGACACTTCTCTAATGCCTACTTTATTTTCCAGAGCTCATTCTAACATGAATTTTTGTCGGGAAAAAACCCAAGTGGGATGTCAGGAACCCTTCCTGGAGTGTACTGGAGGAGAGTTTTGAACAAGTGCCACAGGATCTTTGCAACAGACACAGCATTGGCTCTGGGTGGGGAACATGAGAATGGAGCGGTAAGAACACAGCAAAATTCTGGGCTATTATTCAAGAAAATACAAAATTTACAATACTCAAGCTATAAGGAACATGGGAAAATGTTTCATTAGCTTTAGACAGTCAAAGGTAAATGTCAGCACAAATAAAAAGAATTCTTTTTACAAAAGAAGCAGAAGACCCCAGAGACAACAGAGAAATCTGCCTTTTCCTGCTGTGAAGTCCCTTCCATTTTCTTCACATTCCAGTGCACCTACCTGATCCTTGGTGACCCAACAGCTGCTGGTCCTGGAATGGGCCTTTGCTGGCTGGTGCAGCTCACAGGCTGGCGCTGCCCTTGGGATCCAGAGGCAGCCATTGTGCTGTACAGGCCCCCGAGAGCAGGTTCTTTGTCCAGAGGCTGGGCTAAGTTCTCTTGATGAGCCTTCGACTGGTATTTCTGTGTACACTGTCTGTCCTCCTCTTGGCTGGGTATTTTTATGCCCCTGTGGTTCCTTGTTTTCCAGGGTCTTGCGGCAACATCCACTGCAGAGGCAGGTGAAGGTTTTTTTGGAGGGGATGGAATTAGATAACGTTTTGTGTTGGAGAACACTGCACCCTCCTGAGCCTGTGATGAACCTGAAACGAAGTGGAAAGCACAGTGATTTACCAGTGCATCTGACTGCTAAATGACTAACCCAGGGAGTGAAAGGTTTTGGAGATGCTGTGTGATGGAGCTGGGTGGGCAGATGTGTCTTGATGTTTGCCATGTTGAATTGCTTTCTCTGACAGTTGATTTGGTTCACTGTCAGCACTCCTGGCGATGTGCCAAGCATGGAACAGCTCACAGGGCACACACGAGCTCAGAGCTCACGTGCCAACCTGTTCTCAGGCAGGATCACACCTGCATCATTCCCTGCCAGTGTTTGCACTGACTTGTTCTAAATACCTTAGGACTCCTTTCAGTGATCTGAAGTGCAAGGCAGAGGAATAATCACAGATGAGTGGATCTACTTTTTAAATCAGAGGCAGAGATGATGGAATCTCACAATAAATGCCTGACTGCTGGGGAAAATATTGCACTGCATGCAGGACTACTTTATGGCTGTTTGTGTTTCAGCCATGAAATTCTCTCCATACAATATGTGCAACACATGGAGAAGAAAAAACTTGTTGCTGACTTATAAATATAATCAGCATGCACACATGCTCAGAACCATTCTAAATATAGCAGGGATCTGATTGCTGTTGTCTATTGAAAGAACCAACCATTCTATAAATAGCAGGGATCCAATTGCTCTTGTCTATTAAAAGAACCAACTGTACCCAAGCGCCTGATGTGCAAGGTCCAGGGCAGGAACATAATCTAAAGAATGTGCCACCAAAACTCAGACCCAGAAAGTTCATCTCTGTGGCTCCCAGTAGAGGGGGATGTATTTTATTGCCTAGGTAAAGCTGATAAAAAGTTTTCATGGAACACTTTGTATCATATGATATGCTTTTAAAATGTCTAAACTTCATATTTGTTTTTAAGTATAACCACTCTGAGAGACTGGTATGTCTGACTCAAGAGCCTGAAATAACATTCAATGCCTTCCAAAAAATGCAGTTTACATGGATCTGATGCTGCAAACATTTTTATGTAAGAGTGGCTTTGCTTAGATGACTTGTCCTTTTCTGGTCAGAAGGATTGCTTCCAGCAACACGTTCTTCTGTGAGAAACTCACACTGGATGGACACACTTCTGCGTGTCATTAGGATCCTAGTCAGTCCCCCCACCACCTCAGACAATTCTAGATTTCAAACCACTCCATCATCATCCAGCAGATTTAGTTAGAAGATGGACAGATCCATGCCCAACCATTCACTTTCACAGTCCTGCAGGGCATGCCACTGGAACACTGTGAGATGTTTGTGATGCTGTCTTGTCAATCTAGAAGAACGATGAGAGCATCATACTCAATGTAAAGAAATCATATAAAATCTGAAAAAGATCAAATTAAATCTAAAGAGACCATGAGATCATAATCTAAGATTTCTGTGGCCACTGGACAATAGGCCATTCCTTTAGATTTTTCCAAACAGCTTTTATTCTTGTTAGGGAGATACTATTTATAGTACTGTTAATACACATAGAGGCTTTGAATAATTTAATGATATTTCTAGGGTTTTTTTCAAAATATACTATATTCTACATTTCTGTAGATCCATTTTTGCCCTTGAGAGAAACGTGAAATGAAAAGTCACGTGCTTTTACTTATGAGAAAATAAGAGTTGTTCTTATTAACAACAGAAAAAAGATTGAAGTTGTAATTATGTGTGATCCTCTATTTGATATGTGTTTGGAATAACCATTATTAATGTTTTTAATATTCTTAAAGACAACATTCAACAAGCAGTGAAGAGTGGGAATTCTGCTTTCATTAATGTAAATGCAATTTCAGAGAAGCCTTTGGCTTTATTCCTGAGTAGAAGAGCATGTTCCATTTTTAAACCTTTTATTGAATGCATCCTTTTGGTTGCATATCTTCCCAGAATTTCCAGTTGCTCAGTTAAACCTTATCATTAGCTCAGTCATTATTTACATCAGTGCCAACGAGGTTCAAGTACAGCTCAGTAGGAATTACAGTATTTTAGACTCACCTGGCACTGTCATAAATGAATGACACAAGGTAAAAGACAGAGACCTGTCCTTCTACAACACTTGATGCTAAGCTAGTGTGAGACCTCCTTTGCTCTTCTTAATTCTACATATTCATGCTGAAATATATCAACTGATGGTCACAATGTCCTGTTAAAACCCGGAATGGATTGCTTAGTGTCATTTTCCAGTTGCTGCTCTGGAGCACAGATGCCAGATCCCATGAAACACTGGGGTTACCCATACACCTATCTTCAAACAGCACGTGTTTGGCCCAATGCCAACCCTTCCCCAGGGTTTTAGGTCCAGTACCTGAGGAGGAGTGGGAAGAAGGGTCAAGTGAAATCCTTTCAATGAGGTCCTCATCACAGGCCTCCCTCAACTCATTCTCTAAGCTGTCAGTGAGGCTCCGGTCTTCATCTTTATTCACCTTCAGTGCTTGGCTGCTTTGTTCTTGCTGACCTGTTTGCAGGCACCTGGACAACATCAAGTATCACACCTTTAATTAGCTTTTGAGTGTGTTTATGCAGCTGGTCAAATGCAGCCACTCAGGCAAACACCCCAGCAGTGGATTTAGTTACCCACTGTTACTTCACACCTTCCAGGAGATATGAAAAATCATTTTAATTGGATCAGCATCTAAGATGCCTGTGTCTGATTATCTCAAGCATCTTAGTTAATCAAGTGAAGTGGGGCAGATTTAAAATACTACCCAGTGAAATAAGCTCAGAGAAAACCAGTTTTACTTCCAAAATAACCATGACCTCTCTGTGAGATCTATGAGATCTCAACAAGGTGGTATTTGTCTCTCAGCCTTTTGTTTGCTTAGGCTGATGCACTGCTTGCAGAAAAGCTCATCCCCTTTCAGCTCTTTTACTAGACACTGTCAGGGCCAAGAACGGCTCACCAGTTATGAAAAGTAATTTCTTTGTTCTTGCTAAGGAAGTGAGCCCATCCTGCCTGTGCTCCAGAGAGAAGGAGGAGGATTCTTCTTCCTTGCCATCCCGCAGATGCTCCAGGCGGGAGGGCAGCCGCCCAAAGCAGGGACAGGAAGGCAAGAGGCTGAGACTATCCCTCGACACCACCACCAGGTGGCCAAAGCGCTGATTTTATTTTTGCAGTAGAAAATGAATGCAGAGTTTATTGCATGGCAAGATTTCCCCGGCGGTCTCACCCCTCGTGCTGCTCCATCCATACTCCCGGGTCAGAGGACACCTTTTCCTGGTGCAGATCTCTTCCTCCTCCAGAGACAGACAGGTTTTCTGTCGTCAGACCAGATGGTTTCAAAGGGCTCACAGCAGGTGGCTGTGGAAATTGCAGAAGTTATCTAGATATCCATGGGAACTCTTCCCAGCTCTGTTTCTAGATGTGGATTTTAGAATACATCAAAGCCCACTGTGCTTCTGAGTTTTTAGATCATCCCTCATCATTTTCTAACTCCTCAGTTTTAAGAAGTCCCACTTCCCAGTCATGTACTATTACAGCCTGAGGAACCCAGAGTAGCAGTCACAAAAATTTTGATTTCTGTTTCACTGGATATAAGCCTATAGCACCTATACCAATAAGCGTATTAAGACCAGTACTACAGAAACTGCATCACTCAGTATATGACCACAGTTTGATTCCACATCCCAGTTCTTAGCACACAATAATTCACTAAAATGTTCAAATTTGTTTCAAAAAAGCTTCCTATGCTGAGGCTGTGGTAGCAGAAAGATATGGGCAGTACATATCTTTTTCTTGCAGTTCTTTAACATCTGTTTTGAACATTACATCTGTGTCCTGTGCAGCTCCCTGATTTACCCCAGCCTGTTTAAATCTACTCACGTGCAGCTGTGCTGTGTTGAACCTCAGGGCCAACAAAAGCTGACCATGAAAAGCCAGGCTGCTTCCCTTTACACACATGGGTATCCTCTCACTGAATTACTGCCAAAAGGAGCAGGCTGATCTACAGGGCAGGGGCACCACCCCACTGCCAAGAGGAACAAACTTTGGCTTTGTGTTTGTTTAGTCAATAGGAACGACCTTGCAGTATTAGCAAGCTGACTGTTTACACCAACATCAAAGAAACACTGCTGAAAAAAGTCTTTTTCTTAATAGCTGTTGTAGAAACACCATCAAATTTTGCAATCCTGCCTTGTACTTTGCTCATTGCAGGAGGATGGGAAGTCTGCCCCCAGCAGCTGCTATGTGATTTTCAGGTGCTTCCTTGCAGCTGATGGTCCACTGCTGCTAACACATGGGCACATGCAACATCACGGCAGGGGATCCTCTGTCCTCCTGAAAGCAACTGCATCTTGGGGCTTCTTGGGCTACAGAAGGGAGTGAGCTGCTACAAGCCACAATGGGAGTTCAGTTTATCCCAGGAGTTATGGGGGTCACCATGCAGGAATATGAAGTATACAAGAAAAACATACACCTAGCTTTTGCCTCCTCACATGGAGGGCCTTGGCAGGGTTCCCACATATAACCTGACGGAGTCCTAAGAAAAACAGGAAAAAAGAAAACAATTTACTCCAGCGTTTAACAAACAGTGCTGTTGTTTAAGTCAGTCAGTATAATTTCCCATAGACAGGAAGGTGTACTATTTCATGGTGTAGGTTCACAGTATCAACTGGCATGGCCTAACACTGCTACTAAGAGGCCAGTCTCTTCTTCTGACCCTCTGCCTCCAGTTGTGCTGGTGCAAATATTTGTGTGGACATACGGCCAGTCAGATCAAAAAATATGATTTTTGGGATTATTATTTTTCAGCTGGATTGTGTAAAAACAGGTAAGGTAACAAAGGGTCAGAAGAAGCAGTGAACATTAGGTGAAACTGTTTCTATCAGTAGTGTTAGCTGCCCAAGAGTGTGTATAGAATTATGGTCTCATTCCCTGACAAGCGGTTTCCATGTACATTTCCAAACATGCATTCAGCTGTTGACTCTGCATTGCTTGAATGAATCCATCATCCTGAGTCCTACCCATAGGCAGGGAACTGAGGAGAGACTGGCATCTGATAAAAGCAGCCCACCATGCCTGGAAACAGTCTAATCTGCAGCCTGTGGGCTGGTGGAGTTACACTGTCACTGTGTTTCCAGGAGTCAGGGAAGGACGGGTGGTATTTCCAAGTGACTAGGGCAAGAAGGGCAGTGGCAAACCTGTGTTCTGGGCTAGCCTATAGATCAGGATGTGAAGTCAAGGAACTGACTCCTCTTGCTGAGGGACCAACCTCTGGAAACCCAAAACCAAGTGCTCATTGCCAGCAGTATGAGAGTGCAGTAAACACAGTCCGAGCCCATGATCCAGTGGGGAGTGAATGTGCATCACCACAACTCTCTAGAGGATTACCTTGGAGCACATTCCCGTGGCTGAACAGGACGTGGCCTGATGTTACTCAAGCAGGACAGGTGGTATGGGGCTGTCAAAAGGGACAGCAGCACATGGTACATGGGGTGGGGGGCTGAGAGCAGGCAGCCCAGGTGACTCGCACCTTCTGCTGCAGGGGGAAATAAAGGAAAGCCTATGCTAGAGCAGGTGAGTCTCATGGAAGACAACATATGCTAAACCTGATTAGCAGTGGCATGGGTGGGTGGTATTCAAAGCACCCTGGCTTTCATCAGCAATAACATTCAGAAGGAGGTGGAGGTGTGGGAAAGAACAGGATTTAAAAAAACATACATTACCATGTGTCAAATCACTGGAGTCATCTTCTGTGAACAGCTTATCAGGAAAAACAGTGGGACTTGGAAGAGGACAGCTACTGGACGAGAGGCTGGCATCACTACACGTCCCTACATTATCAGAACACTCTGCATTCCCAGGTCTAGAAGTCATTGGGGGTTTTGGGCTACATTCAGGCTGCTTTGCTACTTCCCCAAGATACGGATCTAGAAGAGAGATTTCATTAGTGTAAGCACAGTTATGCAAGGCTTCCAACCACACCATCACTGTACCTTGCCAATATAGTGACTGCTGCTGCACACCTGGAGCTATAAAGGACAGAAAAAGATGTAACTGCAGCTATAAGAAGCATGCTGGAATGGGTCCAGCCTTGGGAAAAAGGTCTTCCAGTGCTGCACAGTCATGGCAGAATCTGGGGATCCCTAACTAAACTGATATCCCTTCCCACCCTTCTTCTGCTCCTGGGCACCAGAGACAGACTGCTGGAGTTATGGGTCAGGATCTGCACTGTGCTCACCACCCACCTCTGGCTGTCCCACAGGTGAGCCTGGACACATCCAGGGCTCTGCTACTTTCCCCTGCCTGCTTTTCCAGGATAACTGTAAGCTGCATCTCATCTGCTGCCCACCTGCCCACAGGGGAACCATTCCAGACTTGCTGCAGCCACAGCCTAGGCCCCAGTCCTAAAATACTTAAAATGCTTAAATGCCCTGGCACAATGCACATGGTGATGGACACCTTACCAGAGCCACCAGTCAAACAGGGGAAACTGTACCAGGAGTTACAGAAATCTGGGGATGGCAGTGATGCTTTTTTCCAGTACTCCCTCAGAGACAGAGTTCTCTACCACAGAAAGAAGAAAACTGTTTTTGTAATGCTACAGGACAGAAGGGACTATACAAAAACTAGAAAAGGCAGACAGCCTTGTCTTCTTACCTGCCCAACTGCTGCCTGTCCAGGGAGCACAACATAGCTCTAAGAACAGCATATGCAGCCAACAACCCATGGGAGAGAGAATTTCATTCCAGTGCCCAGATGAATAACGTGCTTTTTAAAGTGCTTTTTTGGGCACCTACCTTGCTTTTTTGAGTATCTACCAGCTCCAAAGTGAGGCATCAGCTCTGTGATGATATGGACATTTCCTTAAGAGTTGAGTGTTAGGGCTTTTAATATATCTTGGGCACAGGTGTTAATATGAACCCATGAAATACACTCTATGTGAAAAGTACCCAAATCAACATTGCTACTGGAAAGAAAAAAGTACTGGGATGTCTGAACCTGACCATATAAAGTTACTGGTTTATAGCTGCCAGCAAGAATATGTCTGGTTACACCAGGAAATGACAGGGATTCACAATTTTGTGCTCTGCCCCTACTGCTTCTGTCAGCAAACTTTGTTAACTAGTTTTCTGAACCTCGGGTGATGTTGCCAAAGCACAATCACAGAGGGATCAGATTTTAATGGATTTTTTTCCCTACCATGACTACTATTACCACTAATGATTTGGACCCATAGGGATTCAATAAATGACAAATGTATGTACTTATTCCAAAACAAACTAAATTTTTAATGGAGTGCAGTTGGCAGGCAAACCACAACCTGGGGAGGGGGCTGGGAAGCCAACTGCATTGCCCACACTAATGGGAAGCAACATGAGCAGTTATAGGAAATACTTTGCAATATTTAATAGTATGTGATAAAGTGCATGTAGCATGACAGGTAAAAGCATGGACATCTGAACTTACTACCAAGGCTGCAGGCAAGGGGTCAACAGATTTACTTTCAAACCATTTATTCTCTGCTAATGAATGAAATGAAACTAGTAACAAAGAAAGTGGAACAGATTTCTTACAAGACCATGCAATCTTCCTGTGATGTCGCAGGAAGGGTGTTACCACTGAAGGGTGGTAACCAGATTGACTTTCCTATTATTAAACTGGAATAGGAAATCCTACTACATCCTTGCTACATGGGATTGACTGTAACCATGGAAAGAGCTGTGAACAGCTGTTGTTGAAATAGTCCTTTCCAAGCTTTCCTTCTTCCCATCATGCAGAACAAACCCTAAGTACAGACTCCCAGCTATTGCTATATTTGCTTGATGCTCTAGAAGTTGTCTGCATTTTTTGATCTTGATGCCCAGTTTAGGACTACTTCCATTTAAATCTGCACTGTTATCTGCTGAATTCCAGCTTTCTTACTTCCCAGGTGAAACAAACAACATCCTTTGTCCTTTATAAGTAAAGATTGGTTTTAAAGAGGTAGCCTTGCTCTTTTTCTTTTTACAGGCATTATAAAATGAAAAATGAACCCCAACAGGAAGCCTGTCATACCTAACCATGAAATGTCTTTGGCTAAACCACCTCCCTTGATGGATTCCTTGATGATTAGAGAATCCTCATGCATCTTTCTGGAAGGAAGGAGAGTAGTCTGGCTTGCTGGTATTCTGTCCAAATACTTCAAGTGGGGAATGAGTTTTTTTACTTCTGCTCTGTAATTATAGTCTGGGTCCTGGAGAAATGGAGAAAGTGGTCAGTTTATTTAACAGTCTGTGGACTTCCAGTAGCACAATACCGTTCAATTTGTATGACAGCCATACAATTTGAAATGCTCCTCACATGATTTCTACTTGAATTGATCATGAAAATGTCCTGAGGACTGCAAAGACACGGCCTTCATCCAAAGGTTCCTTTGTTGCTGACCCACTGAAGGCTTTGCCATTTGTCTTTGTTATATTACGTGTAATGTGCAACAGCATAGAAGGCCACTGATGCCCATGGAAAGCCTGGGCTCCCTCAGCATTCAGCCATCTGTCTCCCTGCTTGTTGTGATTCTCTGGTATATTTCTCCTTGATAATCAGGTGATAGAAAGGCTTGAAAACATATTATGAGTGTTGCTACACCTACTGATGGAGAAAGAAAGAACACTCCTATGGATTGTGTTTTTAGGCACACAGTAAAAAAAGTATACAACAAGAGTGCACTGATAGTGGCAGAATACAAATGGACAGCCATCCAACAATTAATTGCTCCACCCAGGCAAATATTATGCTTTTCAGAACATTGCAAGAAATATTAGAAACCCTCACAAAGCCAGGTCCTCATTCAATACAGAGTGGTCATAAACAGAAACCTTTCTGTGGGGTCTGGCTGCTTGGATGCTCCTTCTCTCTGCATGTTGCAGCACTGACATGGGCAGAGGGAACTCACCAAATAAAATGTGCTAGTTGCTGTTAAGAGGCAGACACTAATTTTCTCAAACTAAATCTTTAATCTTAATTTAGAAATTGAGTCAACCATTCTCAGCTACAGCCAATTCCCAGCCATGTCCTGTTGGAGAGAAGAATCATGTTACACTCATGTTGCATTACAGCTACAGAGGCTGCAGACTTTATCATCAAGTTGTTGTTCTTGGTTTAGATAACAGGAGAAGATGAGCTCATCTGAAAATCAAATTACGGGGAGCAAACAGGCCATCTGAAGAAAGAGCAGTAAAGTTAGCTGGACCATTCTGTAGATTAAAAGTAAATAAATAGGAGAGCTTTTACAGGCCTTTAGCAAGGGCCAGACTACAAGAAGAAGCTTGAGGAATTAGATCTGGCCATCAAGGGCACACAAAAGTAAGCCCACATGTACTCTTTTCTATATGGCTTTTCTATGCACCAAAAAAATGCTAACATTCATTGAAATCAAGAAAGCAACCAAGTCCATGGAGAAGCTCTCAATAGTGAAGGGCAAGCCCCACTTTGTAACCACCTGAGAGCAAAGCATCTTCCCAGCACAGACACTGGGTGGGAGACTACAGCAAACTCACAGTCTGCCTCTGCTACACCTCAGTGTAAAATACACCATTCTGCTGATTCCCTGGACAAATTTGCATCTGCAACCACCAATGATCACTGAAGCTCCCACAGATATTCCTCTGTGGATACCCAGAACTTGGACTGCAGATAAGATAAAGGTGATACTATTGTCTGGGTGTTATCGCACACTTAGGGGGAGCTTAACAAAGCTGGGAAGAATGTATCACTGATAATGGAAACAACAACAAAAAATTGTAGAATTTACAGGTCACAAGGAAAGACAAATCAGCAACTCTGCTGAAATCAGTTCCCACTGGGTAAAAGGTAATTTTGACAGGGGAACATCATGATCATAGGCTCAAAAGAAAAGAAAGACTAAGAATGTAGACTAATTAGCATTAGAGGCAAGAGATAATAATTTAACCAATAGCATAAGAGAACTGTGTAGCCAATAAGCATTAATTCCTTTGTTTGCTAAAATGTATCAAGAATGAAAAGTTTTGATTTACACTGGAACCCTACCACCAAGAAGTCCAGGCTGAAGAATGATCAACAGGGATGCCACTGGATGCATGGGTAGTGACAATATTCTTCTCTATCCTCTCTTTTCTATTTCTTTTTATTTCGCTACCTCACATTTACTGTTCAATAAAATCTGTATCACTGACTTTGGCATAAGGTTTGCACCTTAATTCAGGCAGAAGCATCTCTCACTGATCAGATCTTAGCATCCACTTGCACAGGAGTAGAGACAGCCATTCTGCATGGAGAAGAGCAGGAGGGCACACCACCACATACCACTGCTCTTTGTACTTCCATTACGGGACAACATGCAGAGCATCACAAGGACTCATTTCACCTGAACAAGCCAAGGGAAATCTGACATTTCTCCATTACAAGTACACTTAAAGACTGAAGATGCCAAATACTCCAAAAACCCCACTTTCATTGAGCAGGAACAAGGGAGTAGAGTCAGACCTTCAGCCTTGTGAGGATATGCTGCACCATTTCCATAGTATGAAGCTATGATATAAAGTATCAGCAGCTGTATTTATCTCCCTGGGAGTAGAAAGAGTAAGCAGGCATGCCTTGTCCATCACAGGCATACCGTGATTCCTTACTGCAGGAATATGTTTTTCCTCTCATGATTGCATCTTCCATAAGGGAGAAATGTTCCAAAATGGATAAATTATTTTGGTTACAAGCAGTTACAGTGTGGTCCCTTAAGGATAATTTCACCAGTTCAAACTAGAAAGGCAAGTATATAATATTTTCTTTTTAATTCCAAAGAGGAAAATTATGAAAGCTAAAGAGCTACCTTCCATGGCCCCTTTTACTGAACAATAAGATCAAGCCAAAAGTTACATCTGAAAAATGCTATTAACTCACACATTTAAGAAATGCCAAGATTTAAAATATGTCTATTGCATGATTGAGTTTTAGTCTTAGCACCTGTTTTCAAGTCTAAGTCCAGAAAAAATATCAAACCCAACCTTTCAGGCAAATTAACAGCATGACTTCTTTAAAATACAGAGGAAAGCTATGGAATTTCAGTTGCAGTGGGATAACAGCATCAGCTCTGATTTTGGACCCGCATTATCAGCTGTTTGTGGTGCCATTGGGAATTGCACCATCCTTAGTGAGACCTGTGTTCTACATAACTCTGTGTGTGCCTGTAGACCTTCCAAAAGATCTGGATGGCAATATGTTGGTATTTTAATATCCCAGCAATGTTTTTTTATGAAGCAGGAGAAAGTCAAAGAGTGTAATACAGCTCTGAGGCTGTTCATGTAGCATTAGATCTCCCTTGCTTTGCTTGTTGAGTGCCCTGAAACCCAAATCAGATCATGTATTACTGTGTTCTCATCTTTGTGACAAAAGCCTCTTTCATGCTTTCAACAAAATACCTCAGCAGAAATTATTCTATTATTTTAGTATGTAAGAGATGAATCACTCTATTTTGTATCTTCAGCTTTTTCTGAAGGTCTTCTTTGTAATTTGATTTTAAGCTTTCAGGGGAAAGGGTAACAAGCATTATAGCTTTTTCTAGTTACCTCAAGCACTGTTTTTCTGAGGGCCCAACATCTGAGCATGGTGGCATTGGAGGACTTGCTTTTGGACTCGAGAGCTTCCAAAAGAAATGCAAAACCCTCAAAAACTGGTGTCTCACCACAGAATCAATGAATGGCTGGGGTTGGAAATGACGTTTTAAGATCACTTAGTCCAGCCCCTCTGCTAAAGCAGGCTCACCTGGAGCAGGTTGCATAGGATCATATCTAGATGAGTTTTGAGTATCTCCAGGGAAGGAGACTCCACAGCCTTTCTGGGACACCTGTTCCAGTGCTCATACTCCAAGAGAAGAACTTTTTCCTCATATTGCTGGGAAAAAGGCCTGAGTCTTTACTAGCAGTCTTGTGTTTCACTTGTGGTCATCTTGGAGACCATACTGATGAGACCCACAAAATCAACATGGGAAATGCATCCATGCCATCATTTAGAATGATGCAATAGGAAGATGCAGAAATGTTTCTCATTTCCAACTCACAGTTAAAAAGTACTGACAGAAAAATAACACAATACGTGCAAACCAAGCCCTCACCTCTGCAGATTCTGCATTTGGCTTCAGGCAAATAAGGTTGCCCTCCACTGTCAGGTGGCTTAGCTTGCAACAAAGTCGCAGGTACTGCATCTGGTTGATGTCCTCAATATTGTTCCCTTCCAGGTCCAAAACCTCAATGTGATCCAGCCAGGTCAGCTGGCACAGGTCAGAGATATTGTTGTAAGCAATGTAGAGTTCCTCAGCAGAAGTAAATAGAATAAACATGTAAACCATGGGCTTGCACAAGTAACACCAAAGCTTTGCAAAATCTTTTTTAATATTTGAAATACTACGTGTCACAGGATGAAACTAGCAAGGTAGTGAATATTTTATAAAGTATGGCTGTTGCAGCCTTAAATAACATGAGCTAATTTAGCTACATACTACTTTAGGGTACTCAGGATCAGACCTGAAGGCTACACCTCATTTTAAAAAGTTATATTGTAGCATCTTTTAAACTAACTCACCCAATTCAAGGCATCAAACCAAAGCCAGCCAGAAAAGCAATGGGTGAACAGAATGAAGACTAAAAGTAAAGAGTATCAAGTGAAGGTAGAGCTGAGATTTGGCAGGACACATCTATACTTACTTTTAGAGAGCTGCAGGAAGAGATCCCGTCTAAATCTGAGAGCCCACACCGAGCCATCCACAGGACACAGAGATGGGACAATGAGGTTCCAAGATCCCTTATAAAAAACAATTCAAGCTCTATTTGAATGAGTGAAAAAATTCAAGACTTGCTTTCTTTTTCCTAAGACTAAGCCACTGCTACTTCCTTCAAATCTCCCATTGTTTACAAGATATTCCATTAAAAAAGTTCACTCTTGAAAAAGGGGAGTAAAATTATACTCCTTTTTACTTATCCCACTATCAGCTTTGTTCTTGTATGACAACATGCCACCTCAGCCCTGTTTGATTAGGATTATTCCAAGAGCTACATCATGGAAATTCTGCCATAAATCACAGGCAATTGCTAAGAATTAGCAGTTTAGGGGTTGTCTTACACTGGCATCATTGGCTGTACTCATATAACCCAAATTAACATATCTGAGCTGACTGCATGGTCAGTCTCATTCTGTCCCTCTTACAGAGTTACTTCTCTTCTGATTTTGCAGTTAAAAGGAATAACTTGTGCCAAAAGCATTTTCTGAATCAGCAGAAAATTATAATCCTTTCCATTCTTTTCACACCCTTTGGGTGTAGCAAAATATCAATAAGGGATCATTTATATGAACTTTAAAGTTTCTGGTAATAACTCAGAAAATCACATACTGACCTACTTGAGTCCACACACATGTAATATCCCCCTGACCATTACAGTGCTGCACAATACAAAGATAACACAAAAAGGGTGGCAAATCAAACTGAGGGCGCAATCACCTGCCATCTTTGGTAACATTAAGTTGCATTAAGCCAGTAGTGTAACATAAACAAAATACAACACTTTATCAAATCCCAAACCAACCAAAGCTCAGAAACTTTTGACTGTAGCCATGATATCTGAATATCTGAATACTAAAGAAGTAACCAGGGGTAACTAAATTCAAAGACAGTTTATCAAAGGAGGTAGAGACTAGCATGGAGTTCACAGAAACACAGTAATGGCTGAGTTGGAAGGAATGTCATCTTGTCCAACATCCATACTCAAGTTTCTCAGGCTCACATAAAAAGCTAAAATAGTTCTCAAATAGAGATTATTGGACCTCAATATTTTGGATTAGCCATCTCTCACAATATTCATTCTTATAATACAGAGAGTAGTAAGTTTTCTACAGAAAATTGCAGAAGACAGAAGTCATGGGAGACCTTGTAATCTTGAAATATCAAGGTAACAGTTGTGCCCATGTCTTCTCTTTGTGGATGACAGGGAATGAAACCAGCTTTGCATTGCCCTCTGAGAGCCTCATGCAGCTTTGGTAGAGCTTTGCAGCAATCCCCTGTAGTCAAGCTGCCTGCTTCAGGGATACTGGGCATCCAGCCAGTCCCAGAGGTCAGAAAGGAGTGCTTTTATGAGTGGGGATAGACACATTCTCATCTGTATTTTTTATTGTTTCTCTACCATCTGAATACTTGGGAAGGGCCTTGTCAGGAGAAAGAAGCCTGTGTAAGCCTGAATAAAGGATAAGTACAAGGAAAAATATCCCCAGGTGCCTCTCTTCTGTGAGGGGCCAAATACAGGGAATGAATAGAAGTTTTTAGGTGAAACTGGGGGTTTTCACCCCTCTGTCTCTTAGGGACTGGTATGTCCATGGGCATCACCCAGACCTATGCGACTTCATTCATCCTCTACCACTGCAGGGGCTACAGGCACTTGGTGTCTCTAATTACTCCTTCCCTGGATGCTGCCCATTTAAATAAGCTCACAATGGATACACCACACAAGGTGTTTATGTGACATCTTACACCTTTTGAGGAACAAATAGTGCAGCTGACTCAACGGCCAGAACTAAGCAAAAAAGAAATATCTCAGTCTCATTGAACATCTCTTTCTATCTAAGGCTACTCTTCCCTTGAAGAGAAAATTCTCTACTGATATGAACCACAACACCTGCATCCAGGAAGCTTGCCTCTAGTGACACAGGGATAAAGATAGCCAAATTCATATCACCACATCCCTGGCCTTGCACAAAATCTTCCAGGGTTTATTTATATTGTATATATTTTCTAAATAAAACAAAAACTAGTTCTAAGGCTTCCTTAAGGAACAGATGCCTCCCAAAGTAATATTTACTGAAAATTTATTATTAGATTTGCAAGCTGCATGCCTATAATAAGAAAGAAATTAAATTAAATTACAAAAACAGAACCTACCATGAAGCAAGACCAACAGACTCGTAAACACAAATATGACATTAGGAAGAATGTGAAGGGATTGCACTGCTCATTTCATGACCCTCTTCAAGCACTGATGAGATTTTCAAATTTTGGGCTAATTTTGGTGCAGAATTTTCTCTTCTGTAAACCACTGAACAGAGATGAAGGGAAGTAGTCATTCTCATTTTTGTGTCATTGAAACAGTGCTTCTGACAGATGCTCTGTTTATTAGCCCAGCAAAACTGAAGACAATCCTAACGTGGTTACTCTACATATGGTAGAGTAAGATATGGTGAATTGACTTTATTTCCATTTTTAATTTGTCTTGCATTTTTAACTGAAGGGTTTTTGCCACAGAAGGAGATTGCAGTAATATGCTTGTTCCTAATATTTCTCTGTCAATATAAAGAATGCCAAAGCAAAGCAGAGGATTAATTCCCAAGCAATTTTCACACAGGGCCCCAAGAACAATTATTCCCTCTAGTCCTTGATCACTCCATGCATTTGTGGAAGTAGTTCCCTGCTCACACTCAGAAGTCTAGGACTTCCAGAGTTAAGTCCTATTTCTTTTTGTTTGTCACGGTTTTCTGTTCCAGAGGTGGCTGTGGTTAAACCCAGTGCATACAGACAGGGTCAGTCCCTACTCACACTGTGTGCTAGTTCATGCATGGTGCAAACTCATTAGGAATTATTAGCTAACAAGTCCTTAAAGCATTCTCCTGCTGTGCACACAATCAGAAGACCCTAATTGAAATGATTTCTAAAGCCTACTTACCTTACTCTTCACAATTTGTGCTACTAAGTTTAGTCTCAAATCCATTCCAGTTTCATTCTTGGGTTGCAGCTCTGACTCTCCTACAGCTAACTGACATGAGTCAGGAGTAGCACTTTCAATGTTAATACCAATCAAAGTTGATCAGTATTTGTATTCCAGACAAAGGAATTAGGTTGTACATCCCACGTCTTGGGTACTTGCAGAAGGCCACTGCATGCTTGCAATGCAACCCAGTGTTTGATAACAGGGTCTTGTTATTAAAAACAAAAAGCTTGATCAGACACTTCAGAATAGAAAAAAATATGGAAGCTAATGGGGAAGTGGTTTCTTACAAGGCTGAAGTTGGCTGTCCCAAAGCTCATCTTTAACTCAAGAAACAAAATACTAAGAAAGCATGAACTTTGTTGCACTGTTTGGTATGACTTGGCCCAGTTTTGCTATCTTGTTTCAGGGAAGAGACTTAGCAGCCCAAGATACCTCTTCTCCTGCCTCTCAAGAAGGGCACCTCAGCTCTTACGAAGAGCAAAGGACTGCCACCTCTCCTTCCCTGCTAATATAAAGGCAGTGAGAAGAGGCAAAAGGACTTTTTCCCCTTTGGGCTCTACTGCAGAACCAAATTCTTCTTGCTGACACTGGGGTCATGCTAGCTGCTAGAGGAGCCTAAAATTTTGGATCATGCAGTCACATTTTGGCCCTGCAGGTCTCTGCTCCTGCATCTGTAATGAGTCATCCCCAGTCAGAGATGTTATCATAGCAAAGTACATCTGCAAACATTTTATTCAGTAACTAACAAACTAATCTTTTGGAAGCAGCATGACTCATGATGCAGCATCAGAGAAAATTCCCTTGTTAATTACTATAGAGATAATTGCCCTTGAGAGCATGGCTGCTGTAAGGTGAAACAGCAATGTAGCTCAAAGCAAGCTGCTCCTCACAACTGCACACACCTGCATTTCTGAAAATTCTTCTGAAATACTTTGGCTGGTAAGACAAGAACTTAAGAGCTTGCAAGAGATGGGAGTGTCTCCTCTGGGATCAGCTTCAGAACATCTGGCACATCCACCTTGGAGGGGGTGAGAGCAAAGTGAGGAGTTGTTTGAGCACACATGACCACCATGGGCGTGTGTGTACACACAGACATGTTTTCATTTATGTTAAGTGCAGAGTGTGACATCTGCCCAAATGGGGGAGATGCAACTATCGACTTTTATTGAAATCTTAATGGGAATCTGCACTCTGATAATGATTTACTAGGGTAGACTATTTTAACGTAATAATAAACTCTTAATAACAATTTATCAGGGCAGAAAGAGAAAATCCACTATACTTATACATGCAGTGTAACAAAACTCTCCCCCCAAAATAATCATTGACCAAGGCTGAAATTAATGAGACACATCTCAGAGACGAGGATTCTCCTGTATTGGGCATGGTATAAACATACAGAAAATTACAGCACCTATTCCAAAAACAGAAAGTAGGATTGAAAAGTTTGATGGCTGAAAGGAAAAAGATGAGACTGTACGAGACTGGTGGCACTTGGTCATAAGATGTAGCACAGGAGTGCTCCAGTGATGTGCAAACAACAAAGAGCTTATAGAAGGAAAGAGAAAACACTGCAGAGGAAACATAGCTCCCATTAATACAATGAATATTCCCAATCCAGTGGAAAAGTATCCCGTCCCAAGTGATGTGGAAGCTGGGAACTTTACAGGAAAGGCAAAGAATTAATAACCAAAGACATTATATATCCTGCTCACCCCTGCTATGGTTCATTCAAGACAGGTTTGAGCCAGAGAGATGGAGCATGGGGTGGGGACGCATACATCATAACCTTTGATTGTGATAAACAGAGGATTACAGCCCCTGAAGCTGCCAAACCAGAGTCCTCCTGAGTAATTACTCCACATGTGCTCCTACACACATGCTTGCCTGCAAAACATACACTGAATATCAGATCATGTTTTTAGTATCTCAAAGTGCCAAGAAATCAACATAGAATCCCCTAATTTCATTTTTAACCCTAAAATGCGAATTTATAATTGACTTTTGAGGAAATAATATTAATAAAGCAAAGGGTTTGAAGCCTGTGTTCCA